GAGCGTATTTTGAACCACCGCGATGTGAAGGGCGTTCAAACGAGTTATCTCGTCCGCTGGCGTGGCTATCCACCGGCCTGGGACAGCTGGGAGCCTCTTTCCCAGATAATTGATGATGGCCTGGGTCTTGTCGATCAACAAAACGAGACCTACTCGCTGCGTTTGAAGAAGGGCCGTCGGATTACGACCTCCCCGAACACGAGTGCAGGGACTGCAAATTTTCAATCCCCCCTTCGGCCATCTCAGGAGAGATGCGCGCCCTCCAGTAGAGAAAATTAGGGAGGTGGGACTCCCTAGGGGCACGATTTGGATTTTCTAGACAACTTGGACACGAATCACCCCATGAGAGACATGGTAATCTTGCCTCTCTTGACAACCGGTGCAGCTTGTATCATACACCGACTAAGTTACGCTTTTCAAACCTGATGCGAGCTGCATCACGTTTACCGAGCCAGGCCTCACGGCCAATACACACGATGTTATGGATGAAGAAGGCATTCCATCCTTGCACCAAGGCCTTGCCGTCTCGACCACGGTTGCCACCGTACCACCGGTGTATAAAAAACGCATCGATGAAGAATTCTTCCTCAGCACGAATAGATTCCTTGCTGGAATCGGGAGGACAGTTCCTCCTATAGTCGAACAACGGGATTCGATCCCGTTCGGTAGTCATACCGGCCACTCGATCTAAATCCTTGGATGATGGGATTCAAGGAGACTCCACTTGAGGATCATTGCGCAGGACATTTCGGTCCCTGGCCTCTTGAGTGGTGTCAGCATGAGCTCTGACACCAGTAACAGCTCGATCCATATATTTGGTTCTCTCGTGGTGACGTACAGGTGCATACCACCATCATTACGCGTCCTCTTGTCAGATGGACTTACGTGAGACAAGGCGTCGTCGGAAGAATCGCTCGGTCAGAAGAGCTCGAACATTATGCCGCCATTTTCCCTGAGCCAGTCAACCTGGCTCTTGCAGTGTCCGCACCAGATGTCTGGATGCAGGAGGTGTCGACTTCGAGTCGGATGCATTATCCTACTCGCCAGAATAGATGAGCTCTATTTTAGAATCATCTACGTTGCGAGTCGCAGTACCCGCTGCAAATGCAGCGGATGTATCTGTCGCACGTGGTGACTCACCACGTAGACTATTTACAGCAGGCAATTCATGTTGCTCACTTGCAACAGCAGGCGAAAGATCACCTGCTGCTGAAACAAGAGAAGGACTATCTTCGGCTGCACGCATGCGTGCAACCGTCTTTGTGGCTGCTTCGGCAGAACACCAAACGAACTTTGACACCATGCGACGGATTGGCAAATGAGTTGGAATTTGATCGAAAAGTGCTTCCCTTCCCAGAATGATCTATTGGTAATCACTATGTCCCCGATCAATTTAATTTAATCAAAGGGTGGTTAATGCTTGGGGGGGTGATGTAAAGGGCTAGCCCGCTACATGATATTGACCCCGAAACGGTGTCAATAGGGAGATTGTCAAGTGTGATAGTTCCCTTCCAATATTATCCGAGATAGGTAGTTTTAAAGGAATATTATTTCCTTTGGATGATATTCATGCGCTTCTCAAAGATTGGTTGATAAAAGACATATCAACCGAGATTACCACTAATCGCTGCTAGACTCGCGCAATGAGTGGTGAGCAGGTTGTCGTCGTACGACAATGTAGATTAATATAGCTCGATAAAGACTGAAGTTACATTGATAGCTTAACTATATCAAATACAGTTCGCTTTTACCTTTACTCGAACTAGCTGTTTGAGTAGATTATCTTCCTCTGCAAGTACTAGAGTACGTGAAGTTTCGTGGCACCCCGAGCAAAGGATGCCCCGTTACACTGAGCGTGTCGATCGCGTCACCAATGGAATAAGTGCAGTTGTTTGCTATAACCCTAAGAATTGGAGATTTATGCTGCCTGTTTTTTGAAATTTCGTTGAACAACGCTTTTCGTGCCTCTACAGGCTACACTCCGTTCTACGCAAATGGTCTCACCTACCCTCAAGTTCTATCAATGCAAGCAGTATGTGGTTTATGGCTTGGTGAGGAGAGGTTCAGATAGACTTGCTGAGATCAGCCCTTCTAGTGTTCAAAATCATTTAGGCGAGTTTCTCGCAACGCGATTGAATGTCTAGCAACATGTTCATGAAGCAATGGCTGACAGCAAAGACTAAAATAACGACAAGAAGATGCTAAAATTAGAGGTTACAATGAACGTTTCCAGATCGGAGACCAAGTATAGCTCGATTCTAATAGCCTACTAACAAAGTTATGTCCGCTGTATTTTTCTAAAGTTGCGTCCACGCTTCATTGACCCAATTACGGTCACTACCGAGAAAGGGCTTGCGCATACGCTCAGCCTTCCGCGCAAGAAAACGCACACGCCCAGTTCTACGTAGACTTACTTAAGCCATACCGCGATCACTCCTGTGTGAGCTTGAAGGCGCTTGCGCCGGCGACGAAGGCTGTGCCTCGGAATGCTGTAATCGATCCAGCAAGTTCAAACGAGACTTGCTCCGAGTAGGAGCATGCCCCATATCTTAACGGCGGCTTTGCCTCTCATTCAGCATGCACCTGTTCTTTTGCAAGGTCTCTTGAAGAACCTTTAAACTGAGCATCAATTTTCTGTGGTCCACCACCAATACACCAACCACCCCCGACGCTGCTCGATGAGCATGGGAATCGTCAGTATCATGTCGAATGACTTCTGAAACGACGCCGTCTTCAAGGCAAACACCAGTAACTGGTAAAGTGGCGAGGGACCCTGATTCTAAAAACTCGTGGGGGTACAGGATACCCCGTCGTAAAGATTTCCCATTTTGCCTTGGATGTTTTTGAAAATAGTAGCCAATGACGCTTTAGACCGAGGCCATATCCCGCCACTAGTGTTGTGAGTTGGTGGTATAATGGTGTCAGTCTGGCCAGCACTTGTGGCTGCCGCAGTATTCGAAGCATAGCGCGTGTGATTTCGCAATTGGCCTCTGGAGTTTAGCTTGATATAACCAAACCAAAGCTTGGTTTCAAGACGCAAATCGGCCTCACTGACGCTAGCTCTCAGAGCTTAAATACTGCTCAGGTGAAGATTGCGATGCACTAATCGAACAAGGACGTCCTCTTCTTCGTCCATTGTCTCGACTGTGAGCAAGAAAATGGGTATACCTTTAATCGGAAGAACCGTTTTACCACGTGCTTGCATTTCAAGGCTTGCCTTGCACTGACTTTTCGCTGTCAGATATGGATACAGGTGCCACTCATGAAGTGTCTGGCCACTTGCCACTTCCTCGGGAGAAGTTGTTCTAGGACCAATGGTCCACATTGCCAACGTTTGGCCAGTCGTTTGACGTGGACGTTCCTTTGCACTTGGTGGAGCGAACACATAGTCACGCTTGTTCTCAAAGGTCCAGATCATTTTGCACGGCGTCGAGTGCTTTCTTCTCGTTTAACAGTCCACTGTTGCTGCTGTTCAAGCGGATTAATCACGATTGTATCATTTGAACCGGGTGTTGAATGCGGCGCTAATAGCGCATTCGAATTACTATGCTCCGCGAATGGCCTTTGCGTTGTAGGACGTTGTATCTCAGGCATCGGTGTGTCGGAAATTGTTCTTGCATCACCAGGAACACTGGTATCCCTACCTTGTCCACTGCCACCTCGATCTCGAGGTATCCACGAAAATGATTTGACTTGTTAGGCGATTAGGACATGGCGCTTGTGCTTTGCGTTGCGGTGAGATTAAATGTAAACTCACTGACGTCGTTAAGGAACAAAGTTCTATTGACGTTTAGTAAAACTCAGTCTGGTAGGGAGGGTGTAAAGGGGTTACACATCTTAGGGTGCTCGGTACACTATGTCTAAGTCATTTAGGGTAGTGTTCCACTGATAGGGACATGGAATGTCTTATCCGTTTATAGGGGCTAACAGGTGTCAGCCACAAGAAAGAAAAGATCTTTAAGATCTTAATGTAGGACATGAGTGCCTAGATTAATAAACAGATAAAAGTTATTATGTTCTATAGAGTAAAACGTCAATAAAGTTCTATTCCCCTTTTGACCTTGTCTAGACACGTGCCTTGCGAGGCGACTCTGATCGTAGATCGTTAAGAGTAAGCAACACGTCGCTGAGGTATCGATTACTGAGCAGTAAGTGCTGTAGATTCACTGAATCAATCGGTACCGTGGGACGGAGACCTTAAGCTTTATGCTTGTTGGCTCATAGAGTCTGGTTCATTAAAACTGATACCGCTCTTTGAGCAATAAGTAGCCCTCTGACGTAAAGAGATGTTTAGCTCCGGTCCGCCATCAATTCCATATTTGTAACAAACGTTGAAAGCCAATGAGCAAGTATGAGTTGACGGGTGGAGTCTTCATCCCGGAAAGATCTACCTGTTTTGAGTGAAAGAAGGTGACCTACAACTTCAGCTTTTTCCCGTTATTGTGGTAGAGCAAATGACATTATAGCTAGCTCGACTTTTTGTAAAGCAGCAGACGCTATCCTCGATCAGAGGACTTTCTGGTAAGAATGACATAGGCTTTCAGCCCTATTGAAGGCCCCTCGGCGAGCCACTCATCAGCCATGAGTTAGACGATTTCAAAGCGCTTGGCGTGTAGCTCCTCGTCCATCGCCAGGAACAATTCCTCGAGAAATTTGGCAAACCCTTCGCCGCTTCAGAGATCTGCTATGCACTGGAAGAGCCAAATTTGCACTTGGTTGAACTTTGGGAGCAGCGAAACGGTGACGCAGTGCCGGGTGGTTCTTGCCCATGGCGAAATTTGGATATTCCACTATTTGCTCCTCTAAGCCCAGCTCTTTGTTTGCAGCTGTGCTGATAACAATGAGTCCAGTACGGTCGTATGATCCCCGAATGGTGAACCCCACAATTCCATCATCAGTCAACACTCGACTGGCCTCGTGGAGCAGCACATCAGGATCGGGAGCTAGCTGTAGAGAGAGGCTGGAAACGTAGCGGTCAACCTAGCCAGCCTTGACGTCACTCAAGTCTTGCCCTGCATATATCACATCATCACTTCGATCAGAAGCTCCCCAACGTTAAGGGTGGCGAAAATAAACGAAGGATCGATTAACACGTCGCAGATTTGTGTTAAGTAGTGGCTTACCATTTGCTCCGCAGCACTTGATCTTGACACTTTCCGAGCCAACTCTGCTCTAATTTTTTTGCGGCTATACCAACCATCACAGGTGACAAGTCCGTCACAGTAAAAGGCCTTTTGGTCTCTTTGAGGGCCTTCAAACGACTCTCCAGTAGGTACTGAGCAATGTCAAGTGAGTCCTACCCAGCTCCTGCTGCGACCTTGAGCACGTTATGAGCGACATCCGACTGCATGTGTGAGCGCAGATGCTGGGCGCTTTGCAGCGTCACGCGCTTATTCGCCGTCTCGGTGTATCGCCCACCGAAATGGTCCCATTTCGTTCGCGTCTCCTCCAGCTGATCCGGCATTTTTACCTCACTGCTTGGTTATGGTCCTTTGCTGACGATAGCAAAATTTGAGAGTGACAGACGTGACCTCTCCTGCGCCGTCGATTGGCCAGAGGTTTACTACGTGAACACGAAACGACGTCCTAGCAACCATCTGCTTCATCACGTGCAGTGCGGTATCATACGTGGCAACATTTTTTGGGACCGTGCTAATTTTCAATATGACCACACGAGGTGCCCCTAGTCGCTAGGGGGTACTTGTGAGCTCAGCAACCGTTTGCTTTGTAAGTTGTCGGTTTTCGGGTGGTCGTAACACTTGTTTCCCCATAGAGGTTTTGACGCCATGCCATCATAGCAATGACCACACACTTTGCTTCGTCAGCGGAGAGGACAATTCCTTGATTACCGCCTCTTTACATGATGATCCCCGATAGCTTACGAAGTTTTAGTAATGCCACCACATTTCAGCAATTTAAGCATGGGTACAGACTTGTGTAACAGTAAACCACTGCAAAAGTCCCCTTCAAGTACGAGGAGGTCCAATGATTATGTCATTTAACTTTGGAAAAACTGGATACAAAGATAATGCAGTCAGAGCGACCGATGTGTCAAGATGTGAAGCATACGCGACGTGTAGCTCCTTAAATTCGATACATGGAATATATGCCCGCATACCCTCTTTACACTCTTCTTAAACTCTTCACATCGGTACCTGTACGTATTCAGCGTCTACTGATCGATTTAAAGGTAGCCGTTAGGCACTCGAGCAAGTCATCGCTCTTGTAACTGATTTTCAATTTCATAGCAAACATAAAATCAACACTTGATCTTGATATTCGCGGGGTGTCGAAGCGTGAACGATGCTTTGTCCGAACGAAGCCACAAATTACGTGCCAAAAAAATAACCACACGCTTCCAGAGGCTGTACAATCGATATTCAGCACATACCGGTGTACGTAAGTAACCACGTTCATCTGTAATTTTTGTCCAGTATTTCGAATCCTTCCTTCTTCGCGTAAGTATAAAGTCCACACGAGCGCACGACTGTGGTTGTTATTCAGTGTTTTGTATCTTTCATTCTTCGCGTACGCATAAAGCTCAAATGAGCGCGCGATTTTTGTTCGTTCGAGCAATTTTTGTGTCCGCGCGCATCCGCTCACAAGCATCGCGCGCATCCGCTCACAAGTATCGCGCGTGAACGCTCACCGTTTTAAGACTTGGGTGATTCGACTAAATTAATTCAGAAAAATGAATTCGAACATATCGAAAAGTCAATCAATTTACGCGCTGTACATAGCAAATTGCAGAGAATGAAATTTTACACAAAAAGAAGCTCGTGTATGTATCCTACTTACGTTATTTATTGAGCATGCACTGCATCCCACCCTTACGCGTGCTGTGCTGTCGTAATTATATATCTTGATTCGGATGAAATGGGCCGAAGTGAGAGTCCTTAAGCCAAATACGGGAATACCTCCCGTTCCCGTAAGTATGCATGGGTACAACTAAGCCATACGTGCGCGCGCAACTCCGAAGCTTGGCATTTCTGACGCCTAAGTTTTCACAAGTCCTAAGGGTATTAATGGTGTTTGAACCCAGGCAATGACGCATACGGCTTTGTTCGCGGTCATCTGAGTTGGCATCTGTGAAATCATCTAAACACAAGAGACTTGCACAAAAATCGTCAGGGTCAAATACCGGCACAACCAGATTATCGATTGCACAGCCCCTAGTTGCTCAGGTATTATAACTAGCAGATAATTTGGGGCATCGTTCACATTCAGACAAAAGATCGTTCACGCCTTCCCGGATTGATTACCACACAACGCCGGAAAGTATTTTGTCGTAGCTATGCTTTTTTATAGGAGTCTAGTGGGGACACCGAACTTTGTATTGTCAGGTCGATCGTCAACTCAGCTACAACTACTTACATGACAATGTTGCATCGACTCACGACTCGACGAGCACTGTGCACTCGCATCGAGTAATTACAAGCTTGACAAGCGTCTTTTTTTCGTTACCACATCCGGCCAGCATGATACCGACCTTAACTTTTTTAACACGAACAGACTATTCTATCTTTTGAAAGCGGGTTTCGTGGTAATATCGGGCATGAGGGAAAGGGGATGGATTCAGTCCAAGCTTGAGAAAATCAAATCGCACCTGAGATTATATTGATGGTGAGCACCTTTTACGCGACAGATACAGAAAGTGCAACTTACAGTGAAAAACACGATTGCTTTAACGCTTATTTGCTACACGTCTGCAATCATTTGTTCTCCGACCAGGATGGCGCTTTCAACGAAAGCGCATCCGCTCGACGAATACATACACACTTCGTTTATCGGTCCTGCACGTCACACATGCTATGCTTCCTGACACTGATGTTGCTCTGGCTACACATTGTCACCTAACACGTGACGTTTCTCGACGCAATCACATACACGTTCAAATTGATGCAAGACAATGCATAGGTCGTACCTATGCACGCTTTCTTAAAAGAATGCTCGTTAGCTACTTTTTGTGTCGTACTGCATTGTGTTTCTGCTTGCTACCAATGGACCATCGCTAATCGAACAGTTCGGTCGTATTCACGATCGACTTCCATCCTTGTCTGATCCAAGCAATTCCACCGCCAACTGCAAACAACACAGAAGACTGGACATGCGCACATCGTTTCGATTCACTATGATCCATCTCACCAACATTCCGCCATCCAAAGTGCACGATTGATCTTGACGCCGACGCGTGAACGTACATGACAAGAAGCGGTGCGATAGAATCTGTCGGACAGGTACGCTTGGGACCGGATCGATTCGTCATGTAACAGTGGGTGATGAGCCAAATTCATTTTTAATACCAGTATGGGGTGATAGGGCAGAAATGACGGTATAGTTGGCAGCCAAGGCAGTTTTGGACAAGTTTCACTGTCCAACGACGACCTTCAATTTGCATGCCATTGGGCCAGACTTTTGCTTTGCGATGCGATGCCGTCCAAATACCATCCTCACGGACATCCATAGCGGCGCGTACGCTTTTCGCGGCGTGTACATGTCGCTAGACCAGTATGCATATTTCAAGTTTTTGCGTTCGTGCTTAACCTGGATGTACCCCTGTCATGTATTTACTGCATTCACGCCACAATCTTGCAAACGAAAATGGCGTCAAACGGAAGGACAAATGAATGGTCCATGTCGCTTCGTGCTTAGGCACTGTGCATGCTCTGATGTCATATGCTTGTTGCGCCTACAGCCTTTGATCATCTGCATCCACTGGATGCCTTTTCGATGTCGTGCGTCACTAAGCGCTACATCAATACATACGGTACAACGTTGTGCGCTGGTAGGATAGCTGCGTGCACGTAGTCAACATCCTTAGCCCACCGTGTCAAAGCATATTTTCATGGACCACAACGAGATCAATCGATTGCTCGTAAGCCTAGGAGTCGAAATGAGCGGTGAGCATTACAGTAGACAGGACTACAGATGGAATATGCGTGAAATTGGCAATGCGCGTAAGTCAGACGGAAATAAAGTAATGCATGTGCATATAACATGTACGGTGTAGTGCGCACAGTATGCGTATTGACGGTGACGAAAGGTCATGAGTCCACGAATGCAACGTTAATGTGCCGGGGCACCTCGTTCGTATTTTTTCGATGTATCGTTTGATTAAATTTCATACGAACATAAATATGCAACATACAGCGGTAAGCACCAGCCAAACGTTCATCATTGTACGTAGTGATGATACCTTGCGATTTCGAAAAAAATGTATTATCTAATGCACGAGACAGGACGAGGGAATCTAAAGTGCCTAACTCGTAGCCTCGCGATGACAGCCACACTTGTTCGTGCATCCCCCGCAGTCGTTTGCACCCTACCACTTCCACACCGAAGTTTTACACACGGTCCACGCAAAAGCAGCTAAGAAATCGATATAGCATACCTCTGCAGAGTTGTTGGCCACTCTGTTGGAGCCAGACCTCGCACTAAGTACTGGTACACGCTCGACTGACGCCTAATGTGTGCACATTGTACCACCAAGAGTTGAGATGCCCATTCCTTGACTTTCACAGCCGCGGCATAAAGATGCACCGCCTTTCTCCTCACGGATGACCACAAGCTCGAGCTGATCGAGTTGCGCTGCAAAACAACAGCTTGCTGGTCACCGCTTATACACACAGAACGAACTGTGTCGCCATACATCAACCGGTACATGCCATATATTTGATCATGATTCACAGCGCTACTTGCTCCTCTTGTGCTAGCGTCATATGGTGCTTCGCGGTATGTGGCAGATGGCTAACGGAGAGACAAACAAAGCTATCTTGTGATGTCTAATGGCAACAGGACACAAGTATATTCGGCTAGAACGTGCTTTGCTCAATCTCCATCCTTGGCAGTTCGGTTGTTTCACTCCTCAATTCACCTCACCCGACGCAAGACAAACTTACTACCATGAACTTTGCTGCATCCTGCTCAACTATCATCAAGACCCTCGTGCTGATGGCCTCTACCGTCAATGCTCAATGCTCTGACGTCCACGTCGTGTTCGCTCGTGGAAGCGGCGAAATACCCGGTCTCGGAATCTGTGGGACGCCGTTCGTGAGAAGCCTCACTTCGACTCTCTACGGCATGAGCGTTTCATCGTACGCTGTGAACTACCTTGCCTTGGCTTCTCAAACAAGTGCCGGTCCAGGAGCGTCTGACATGTCAAAGCACGTCATGCAGATGGCCCAACAGTGTCCCAACACTATGTTTGTGCTGGGTGGGTACTCCCAGGGGGCTAGTGTTGTTGACATTGCCATCGGCATCGACACCACGCTTGGCAAGGGCACCGTTATCCCGGAACATCTAGCACCACGGATCAAGGCTATCGTGACGTTTGGCAATCCGTTGCGACTCACCGGCCTGACGATCGCCCGTGCGAGTGCACTCTACGGATCCAAGGCGATTGAGTTTTGCAACTTTGGCGATCCAGTGTGTGGCAATGGTGCCAACGCACTTGCGCACACTTTGTATCCGTCGGATGGCAGCGTCATGAAAGCGGCGAGTCAAGCTGCTGCTTTGGTGAAGAACTAGGCTGTACGTCCACCGAGTTTCGTGTGTTACCTGCTACTTTTGAACTGTGAGTTTGAGGTAGCTTACATGCAAAGTGTGCATACCACACTATCGCTGAGTACTGTACACACTGAAACGTACTTGCATAAACAATGTGTTACACAGTGTTAAGAATGTGCGAAATTTCTATTGATGTTGTGGTTATACATGTGTATTTCTCAAGAGAATTCTTGATTGTACGCCATAATGAATACATTTCTACATTTTTACAGCGACTTTGACCGTTCAAAATGAGCAGGTGTACTTCATGGCGAGCCAGAAGGTTGACGCTTTTAGCGATTGTGCGCAAGGAAATCACCGAGCCTTTTCAATCGTACTTATCTGTCTGTCTGTGTGCATATGAGATGTGTGGTAAAAAACGCTACGTACCTTATACGTCTTACTGGTGCGATATAGTCTGTCACCTCCTGTGTATGCTGATGCTTTCAGCTTCCTCAATTATATACCCTGATAGAACATCCTCCCTCTATAACAGCCGAGTTGAGGGTGGAAAAACAGGGATGTTGTAAAAGAACTTGACTGTTTGACATCCCCTGATAGAACATCCTCCCTCTCCCTCTATAAGACCCAAATTAGGGGTGGACAAACCGGAAAGTTATAGAGGGAGTTGACTGTTCAATGTCCCCTCATTTAAGACTCTCCCTCTATGAGATCCAAGTTGGGGGTAGACAAACAGGGATGTTATAGATGGAGCTGATCATAACGCCAGTTGCACCTTACACGTCGCACAAAGTGCGATGTAATCTATCACCTGTTGCGTCCGTAGGTAAAGCTTGATGCACCCTACACGTCGTACCAGTACGATATTAGACTGTCGCTCCTTTGTGTGTGTCTGTGGACAACGCTAGGTGTTCCTTTACACGTCGCAATCAGTGCTATGTGGCCTGTCACCTATTGTGTCCGTGAGTAAAACTGAATGTACCTTACACTTCGTACTAAGTGCGTTGTAGCATTTTGCCTCATGTGTTTGTGTCTTTAAATGTCGCATGGTGTACCTTATACGTCATAATAAGTGTGATTTAGTCTGTCACCTCCTGTGTATGTGACTGTAAATAAGCGCTAGGTGTACCTTGCGCGTCTCAAGAAGTGCGATGTAGCATTTATGTACTCTGTTTTGGACAATGCGCATCATGGGTGACACTCTTTGATCAGGTCACGCACTGTGACTGCGAGCTGTGTAACGTTCATGCACAAAACAAATTCCCGCACCCGATTAGCTGGACAGCAGTAAGGGTGAACAAAGACTAACAAGCAGATACTAAACATGTAGATGCGGCAAAAGTTCGGCACCTTTTGCGAATAGTGTATGTGAAGTAATCTGCATCATGGTATTTCATACACTGAGATATAACAAGGACACAGTCATCACAATGTTCTCTGGATAGCAAATTTAGAGATATCGAAGTATTCTTTCCCGTTACCATAAGTTTAGCATGCATCGTCGGCTTCACTTTGTTGTGTGCGGCGTTTCGAAGCAGGATCACCCCTGTCTTTCTTTTTCATGTTTGTCTCTTTAAACATGAGCAATAGCAACGAGTAGATTTAGCACACAGCAACCCATCAGCACTTTTATAATAACGACATCGGTCATGATTCATTCCTCAGGCGCCAACCACTAGACCTCGATGCGGTTCTCCAGACTGAATAACTTGTAACAAAGAGCTCCAGAGCTTGCTTCCCTATCTTATTGTCGGGTCGCCATCGAGGCCTGACGAGAACTACTACCCGTTGTACGAGTCAAACTGACCATACATAGCTATGTGGTATCGTCAAATGTATAGAATTGACACATTAACAGCAAGCCATGACATACAGAAAAGGCTTCAAGCGACCGACATGATACTATGTTTAGGCTCAACAATAAAACATCAGCTCTTCACTGCCGCATATGCCATAAGGCGAAGTTATATGCTGAGATGGGTCCTCACACTAGGTATATATTACGTCTTTGGAAAACATGTCCACGTATCGGGGCGTTCAATATTGCGCTTGGTGCATCCGGTATCAGTTCCTGCTAGTTGTGCAATCACGTGCTGTTGAGTGAATTGAACGAGTGTTGGCTATTGTATGATGATTACGTCTTTAAGATGGCAATATAACCTATCGAGTCAATATTAGCAGAAATGTACGACATATTGCTCATCGATTAAGACGCACCTTTTTATCATCCAACAAACCCACTAATCATCTTAAGACATGCGCAACTCGTGGTAATCAATCACTCCACACACTTTTAGTTATTGAATCGTGAGTGTGAAGTTCAAAATTGCTCACACATATTGACACAGTTTTTGTCCATTTGACCAAGTGCTTCCGCTTGGCATCCCGCGCTCCTCGTATCCATGATACATTAGGTTATAGTAGATCTATCTTAATGTCATCAGTGTATGTAGCTTAAACACTGTTATCTGTACGAGTGTGAGGTGTGTCATTAAACCTGTTAAAACTTTCTGGTCCGTTCAGCGATAAATGCAGCATCTTCTGTGGGACCAGCAGATGTGTTGTGTGCTCATTCAAAGAATGATGCAGCTTTGATTTGAATGGTCTCGAACTAGCATAAAAGGTCAAAAAGACCGGTGACGAGGTGCGACACGAGCTCTGCTCTATCTAGAAAGAGAAGCGAAAATCATCTATGATAGCGCAAAATGTGTACCGTCTCCAGAGCAAGTTACACAGGACCCTTTTACGTCCAAACAATGATGTGAAATGTCACTTGCATACTCTGTATGACATTTAAGACAACCCGTAGGACTTGGTTTCTCCTGTTTATTATTTACAATTGATATACATGATGCTGCGCAGTCTTCCACCACAAATTTTTACAAAGAACTCAAAACAATGGTCCTTTTTAGATCGAGCATGAGCAAATATACTCGTAGATAGCTCACAAGATAATTTTCATTGCCAAGTTGAGCAGTAAGGGCTTGAAAAATTGTGCGTTTGAGAGTACTGAAGGCAAGAAGAAGCCAAGTGGGACAGCTAATATTCATAAAGGGGGTAAGTGAAAAACTACATTCGACAATATGAACAAAAAACTCAGACCTTGGTATAGGTGTCATTACTATGGAGGTAACGAAGACTATAAGCGAGATCTCTCATAGTTGCGATACTGATGTGGCGGAGAGAGTGTTCATGCAAATTTACGCACACTCTGGTGAAAAGACAAAAGATCAGGAAACAACCAAACCTCCAATGTAATGTAGTTGCAGAATTATGAGCTCGAGGTGGTGATAGGGGGATCCGTTAAGGTGACATCGAAGATTCAAGCCGGTGCAAACGGTATTTCGATTTTCAGCATCCTCTACGGACTACTTTACAGTATTTCAGAGTACATGAGACAGCGAATAAAATCCGATGATATCAGAATTTGCACATCATGGAGTTAAAGCGAAGGCTGAAGGATTTGCAAAATTTTCTTTTGACTATTGTTGATGAGCAATTGGTAACATTGTTCTGGACGATGTTTTGCGCGTGCAACAAGCTGAATGCATTTTGTAGATTTCTGATTAGGCTATACACCAAAGATGTAGATGCCATAGGACTAGAACTCAAAGACTGTTTTCTCTTCGAATTTTTTTTCTAAACGTGCAGCTTTGGAAAAATGTCAATGGACATTTACTGCACACAACGTCGGTGGAAGCGCCCCCAACAAGAAGATCTCTACAATATAAACATATTCTTTGCTTTTTTTGCAGTAACTGATGGTGTAGAATACGTAACGTCTAGCACGAGTGGCTAGCACACACATATCCGGAATACATACGATAAATTGATGTCTGTGTCATGGCCAATGGTGTCGTGTCCAGGAGTCGTAGGTCATTGTTTTGAGCGGACCGACATTTAATTGAACTACAATAAAACTCTTAAAACTGACGCTTGATGAACGTATCGAGAATTCGAATGCCATTATATTTCCTGATCTCTTAATATACGCAGCAAGTCACGTATTGTAGTATTTCGTCGTTACAATTGGTAAGAATTGAAATCCCTATCATATCAACGCTAAATGTGCTTACTTCGGAGTTTGAGAACTAGGTCAAAAAGTCATTAAAGCAAGGTTGTATTTCTAGAGCTAAACGACAAACTGAAAAAATCTTTGACACTGTGGTAACAAATGATTGACAAAAGTGATTCTAAGAGCCAAGTAAACAGTATGTTCACAGGAAATGTCGGAAATCTTTCATTGGGGGGCAAGTACAATAAGGTCGAGATTGTAGTATAGCGTATACTAGTTGGTTTTCCAAAGCGTCACGAATGAGATTCAGTTATGCGTACACATCATAATAAAATGTATACGTAGAAGACAATGGCCCACCAGTCTGTTTGCCAAATAGTATTGGATGAATGCTTTTAAACAGCTGTTTGCATAAAGAATCGAGTGTTTTGAAAAGGAGCAAGACGCACCCCCTATATAGTAACGTTTAGTTTAAGACCAGGCACTAATTAGATCAGAGCATTTGGATCACTCCCGCGCTTTCACGTGCCAGAATAAGTGGAAAGCTTAGTATGAACTACATAATCGGCTTTGGCTACCGCGCAAACTTTGTCGGTTTTCATGTGTGCTTTACAGCAAGAGAGCGTAACACACTTTGTGTCTCATGTTAAGATGCACAAGGAGATCAAGTATGAGGGACGTTTCAATTGTTTATAACAAACGAGTTCGACGATGGCTTCATACGATCAACAAATGCAACACGGACGTCGAAAGTTTTTTTTAAACTGACGAATCAGAGATATCACATGTCACCAAAGGCACCGTAAATGTGGATTATTACAACATTTACATTGAGGCGAGTAGTTTAAGGTCAGATTTTAGAAACTTATTGATGTGAACAATTGCGTAAATTAGAATGTCACGCAATCTTATTCTGCCAGAGTGTGATCACACAAAATGTACTCCGTGCAAATAAGCTTTCGGTACAACCAGTGCTGATGAATGTGGGCAGAGTGATGAAGGCGGA